CTTCACATGTCATCAGTCAGCATCTTTCCCTGGTCAACAAGCCATCCCAACTATCCTATTACTCTGTCCTCATGTTTTGTTCTTCAGGTCCTTGCTTCTGAGTGGCATAAGAATTTCTTCTGGTGTAGATCTCTGTCATCAAATGGAGATCTTCCATGTCTCAAGCAGTCCATTGAGGAGGCATGCATTCTTTGCAGGATGGCAGTGACATGTACAGTAAGACATTTCACATTGCACACAGAGTAGCAAGATTGCCCCAAGTGAAGTGCTTACCAAAAGGTCATCCACTGAGTTAATGGCTGAGGTAAAATCTGAAGTGGAGACTTTGTATCTCATAACCCATGCTCTTAACCCACTTTATGATACCCAGCACACTCCAGTGCTTAGGTGAGAGGACAGCCATTTTCCCCCCTCACAAACTCTTCAGCCCTGTGAGGGCAGACCTATGTAAGGTTTGTGCAATCCGTGACACGCACGCACACACATACACAATCATTAAAATCTGTTACCAGTCCTGAGGACTGGAAAGTTAATGTAACCCCCATCTTTTAAAAAAAGGTTCTCCTTCAGCGGGGGAAGGCATCCATACTGCTTAGGCCACGCCTCCTCTCGCTCCAGGGAGGGCTATGCGGAACAGCCTATTATGGGGCGCCTTTCATCCCAGCCTTTTCCACCATGGCGGGACCCACTGCCACAGCCAGTGCAAGTATGGGGGCCGTGCCTTCCCCCCCCACACTATGTTTGGTCAGTCCCTGGAATACATGGAGGGCAGCCTGGTTCCCACAGGCTATACCTGCAGAGTCAGAAGTCCAGCAGAGGGGTCGGGGGGGGGAGAGGTCCTTTGGTAAAAAGAAACCAGATAATGATGGGTCTCAGTCTTCACCTCCCCCTAAGAGACAACAGCTATAAAGCAAGGAGGCTGACTAGTAGAAATGATTCAGAGGGGGAAGGGGTCCCATCCCTCAGTTATGTGACAATCACTGGCTCAGACAGAGAGGAAGGTGAATGGTCTGGGGAGGAATCTGACACAAAAGAAAGCTCTACAAGATTTTTCCAGCCAGAGCACTTTCAGAGACTTCTTAAGAAGGCGGCCTCGACTCTTAACTACAACGTAGAGACAGAGGTACAAAAGACCTCCAAGACCACTCCTGACCTGGATACCAGAGGCTTCAAGAAGCCAAATAAACAATTAAATGTCCTTTTCCTGAAAATTTTGAAGAGGTTATCAGGTCAGAGTGGGCTGTGCCTGGGGACGGTTCAACCTTACAAACCATAGCCAAAAGGTTTTATGTCCTCCTGGATAAGATCATGGAGGAGTTGAAGGCACCTTTAGTGGATGCTCCGGTTGTGGCACTACACTCAGGTGCGGTCCTATCAAAAGATGGGGACAATGTACTAAAAGATGCGGTGGATAGGAAAAATGAGACAGTGCTAAAGAGAGTACATGAAGTAGCATCCTTGTCCATCAGAGTGTCTGCAGTTCTCTCAAATTTCACACGTGCCATAGTGATTCGGTCTGAAAATCTGCTTCAGAATCCTGAACCAGATCCACCCACGCTAAAGAGAACCCTGCTCAAAATAAAGCATGCAGCCCAGTTTGCAGCAGATGCCTCTCAGGATAGCTTACAATATTCCGCTAGATCTCAGACAGCTAACGTGGTGGTGAGAAGGGATCTATGGCTCAAGCAG